CATCCTGGATTTGCGTACCTGCCCGAAGCCTATCCGTCACGTGAACACCAGGTCAGCACACGTTGCCCTTAGAGCAATTTCAAGATCTTTCGACGTTTCGTTTAATGAAGGTTTATAGGACCAACTGGTAGGTAGCCTCAGCTTAAGGGGCGTTGGAGTGGGTTCTCATTGAAGTATGCGTGTTTTGGGTTTGATCGAACTCGAAAAGAAATGCGTCTTTCACGCTGACGCGCTGTATGCATAACTTTACCACCTTTTACTAAATAAAAACCCATCCATAGGTGGTAGTTTCAAAAGCTGTGCTTAAGTAATATGGGTGTGACCTCTGGCAAGATAGTTTTTAGAAGGAATGAGCAAGCTAGGCATTGGTGATCCAGGGACGAGAGGTCCATATCACAAGCTTGATACCCATGTTTGTTGTCCTTGATCTAGGTAAGGCCAAACAGATTTCATTCCTGCCTTGCCATTCTGAACTGGTCAAGCTAAAATTTTTATACTTCTTTTTATGGAGCGTAAGCTTTCAGGAAGTTCATGTTTGCATCAATAACACTGTCACTTCATCTCTGGGGTACAGTTGGCGTTTTGGCGCAAGTACCTGACGGTGTACAACTACGTTGAGAATGGCGGGACACTACCGGGGACGTATATTCAGCAGAGTCGACGAGTACACTCACACAGTGTCTGTGGATCACCAACCACGGAAATAACTAAGTTGTTGCGTTCTCCACCCTCTGCACCGATATTCAACGAGGACCGTGATGAGATTTTTCCTACAAGGCTGAGCGTTGGTGATAACAATGACATCAAAAGTAACGGTAACAACAACGTAGGATTCGTTGAGGATCCTGCTCTGGAGTGTCTCTCCGAGTTGGAGGAGGTGCGCCACCTTGAGGAGGTGACTATTGCCCCGGAGGATGAAGAGGCACTTCTGATTGAGACCACCTACGGTGCTCTCCTTTCTCATCTCTGGTGGACTCTCTGGGCTCTCATACAAAGCCAAATTTCCAGCATCGACTTCGGGTTTATTGTATGCGTTTTAATTTCCTTGTCCCGTTAATCATGTTCTGTTGCCAAATGTGTGCTTATTTTTAAAGCTGCACAAAACGTGCTAAAACGACTCCTCAATCATTCGCTTTATAAAAATTATACCGTTGTGCAGTATAACGGTTTGGTAGATAAACGAGGCGTCCAAAATTCTTTTCCATAGTCGTAAAGTCGCACTAGAACCGTGCTGCCGCCGTCATTGCATTCACGATACGCCAGTTTGGCGTTTCTTATTTAGCAGAGAAACAGAAACTTGCTGAAATCGCCCGCTCACCACATCCATCCTATAGTTGTTTACCAGAAGCGGGTTTCCGTGGAGCTATTTTCAAGTTAGTTTGTATATAATTTTAACAATTTTCCATTCTGTTTAATAGGAGTATGCTGAATCAAGAATGACAGCTTACTACGACCTAAAGAAGACCTTACCCGCCTCAGAGTTTCCCAACAGCGAAGGCCAATGGATTGATCCATCCAACTTGCGAAAGGTAAACGGCGAGATTTTCGATATGGAGTCGCCTGCCAAGGCACAAATGAACAGCGACAAGGGCGAGTCCCGCACGAATGCCTCTAATCTCGTTACCTCCTTCTACGTCGTTGAGGAAGACGGATGACTTCGTGGCCATTACAGGCATTATACTTGAAATTTAATGTTTTAGCAATTACCTTTACCCGAACTTTACTCCCCATCCCAAGACTGGTTTCTTCGTCACCTCTCCTGATGGACAAAAATAAGCAAAAAGATTATTATTGGACATTTCTTCGGTTACAGTCGCTTCGTTCAGTGTGCAGGAAATTCGCTTCCCCGTCGTCCCTTGCCTATCCACTTTCTTCTCACCCTTGCTGTACGTGTGCGTCAGTGCGTGCGTGCTTGTGTGCCTCCATTCTCGTCCTCCATGCGTATTATGTGCGCACGCGCATTATGTATTTTTATCAGAGGATATTCGTATTTTGGAATATTTTTGTATTTTTTCCTTGACTCACCTGTCCCTAGAAGGGGCGAAAGGGTATCAGAGCGCTAGTTTAAATGAATTCCAAGCATTCGTTCTAACCGTGTGCACTCAGTTCAATTTTCATGTAAAGTATGGCAGCAAAATTTCATGATGATGCTACCACACCAGTAAATAACTTCACTAACTTTTGAGGAATTGGAAATGAGCCGCTAGGACGACATAGGCAATTTCCCATTTTTTGCTTGGTAAATGGCCTCAAAACTGCCGCAAAAGGCATTTCAAGGGAAAGAGCACCTGCGTGGATAGCAATTTCCTCCCTAAAGCTGAAACATAGTTGATATGCCCATAGCCAACGATTACTTTATTTGTAAGAACTTAATGGGTT